GAGAGACAGAGACTGTAGTTGAATGTTTCAGCACCATGGAGAGAGACTTTATATATATATATCTGTACAGTAAGTACCGCACAGCATCAGTGAAGTAGCGTTTTCCTAAGTTGCATAAATTGAATAAATATACAAAGTGTGGCTCCTGTTTGTATCAAGATGTATCACTGCTATCAAGAAGGTTATGTTTTTGGTTCAGTTTGTTTGTGGGTTTGTTTGTCAGCTTGTCAGCAGTATTACAGGGAAACGACTGGCCCGGTTTTCATGAAACTTGGTGGAAGGGTGGAGCATGGGCCAAGGAAAAATCCATTACATTTCTAATTGGATTGGCCTTGGCTGAGGTCTGTGCTCTCCGAGGGCACTCCTAGTTCTATTTTGTTACCTGGCCTGTTATATTATAGAATGTGTTTTGGTTGGTGCAAATTCCTTGTTTTTTATAGATGTATACCAACAGACACCTTGACAGCCAACACCTGTTACAATAGCCATAGCACACTTGGTTGTGATAGAAAGCAGCGAGCAGGTTCATGTGTTTATAATTAATAACAACTTTTGGTGAATAATCCACAAACATTGCCATTTGGCTCCTGTCCTCACCCTGCATCACAATATTCTGTTTGAAGTGATAAAAAAAAGCAGTTGCACATCAAAGGCACCGAACCTCTGTGCCTCTTTTTGATGTAGATCCTCATATATGCAAGACTCTTCAATGCTTGCTCAGTAGTTACATGTCATTAGATGAAACAATACATGCAATTAAGAAAATTTAACATTTAAGGCTGAAATTATACCAACATATAAATGATACATGAATGGTATATAAGCTAGCATGTCTATGTACAATGCTAGTCTCATATACTAGAAGGGGAAAAGGGAAAGTGCTGAGAAGAACAAGTGAATGAACATGCTAATCAACATAATTGACAGTGGGACACGGACACCGCTCAGTCCCACCACTAAGCGCTTTAGCCAATCTAGGCTCAGTCAGATGATGTCATCAAACCTCAACATAAACTAAAACACAAACTCACCTATACATTCAGTTGTACTTGGATACTGCTGCAAGAGCTTTTATGGAACTTCATTTGAACTTCGAATGAATACATTATGCTGACTGCTTCTATCATGGAGAAAACTAATTTGCATGCAAGTGTGTGATTGGGAAAGCATCACCTGTAATTTGTATTCAAACCGACAAGTGGACAAGCACCTATCATCTATCTTCTGTACATGAATGACTGAGAGACTGCAGTTTACAAGTGAACCCAAAGTGGCAGACTATAACCTTGTGGGAAATTACAACTGTTGCAAAATGCCTTTCGTCATTGTCATTGAGGTCTTTCTGAAAAAGTGACACTGTCTCTACCAAACCTTGACATTGCAGACACGACATATTTGTCTAAATTATAGCCAGCAGGTGCTGTTTGAGTTTTAAAAAAAATCCTCCTTCAGCACCACCCTAGAGCCAATGTCACGACCCCTGGCGCCAGTGACAAATAATGCATTCATTGAGCAGGCTGAGCAGTGGCTGGACTGCTGATGTTTCACACCATAAGAAAAGAATATTTAAAAAATGTTGTTACAGATGAATCCACTAGGGATAAGCTATGTCTCTACTTCCCTGAAAATAATCCCTGATTTATCGCCTGGTTTTACAGCATAGAAATACAATAATTTACTTTCTTCAAGACAATGTGTTGGCGTTCCATAAACAACATTACTCTATTTCCTCTCTTTATCATCCACCCTTCCCCATCACAATAGTTCAGCTTAGTTACACAAATTAATAAATCAGATTTATTATTAATACAGGACATTATATTTTATATTTATATAGATCTTACATTAATTTACCAAGAATTTACAGAGGCAATGTAGACATATTGATTTCGTATGGGCCCATATTTTGAAGTTAATTTAAAATGCAATGCAGAATGTCGACACATAATTTGAACACCATATGGTGCAACACAGTACAAGTGCAGCCTTTGAAATACATCTCTGATACAGTCTCAACAGAAACTACTCATTAAAAGCTTTACAAAGGCATTATTATTTTTTATTATAGTGTCCGACTCATGCATGTCATAGTTAGTAAATCTTAAAACGCATCACTATGGAGTCTTTTGGTGCCAATAACAGAGCATATTGCACATGCCAGCAAACATACAAGCATAACACAGATGCATTTAGACATAGATACAGTACATACATATGTACAAAAAGTATACACACGATACTACAGAACCCCCCCCCCCCATTGTTGTTTGAACTATAACTGCAAAAACTGGTAACTGGTAAAAATGTAGCTTTGCTGAAAACATTCAGCAGACACAGCCAACAACGGCTGTGTCTGAGTCCTTGATCAAAGAGTCTAAGTAACCTTGCACTGCTCTGAGGGTTCAACAGCCCGGTTTTCTAAAGTCAGGGCCAAACCATGAAAGTCCTTGTACATTTAGTAATCACAAGATATATTTTTTAATTAATTCAGCATTTCCCCTGCAGCAACAAGTAACCAAGGTCTGTATGACCAAAATATTTTAACAATATTAAGCAACTCATTAATTTAGATGGGAAATAAGTCATTGCTAAAGTCAGTGACGTTACGTTGACTGTAAAAATGCTGTAAAATATCGCCAGTGACTTTGATCTTTTATGACCGATGTGTCACAATATTTTAGAGTGTCTGTCTTTGAGATAACGACATTGACTGTAACACTGAGTCAAACTAAATACGTCATCAGTGAGTGAAGTCAAGAGTAAAAACACGGTCATGGGTGTGTCCACACTGACAAATATGTCCTTCCAGACTGAATGAATAGGAAACAAATACTTTGGTAGATGTGTTAGAGGGGTTATTGACATGGATTTAAAAATACCAAACAATCAGTTTGAACATACTGTGTAATCACTGTTGACTTTAGATACAGCAAAATCTAACTTACTGTGTGTAAATCATCAATAACAAATATGCATTGAGTCATGAGTGTGTCGCAACCGTTGTCTAAATTAGTAAATATATATATTTCATCTGATAATGAGCATTCTTTACATCCTGGTGACAGGCACTGCATCGTCTTAAAAAGGATTTGGGGGTCCACAGAGGAAATATCTGGTTTTGTTTGCTTTTTACTTTGTGGCACAAGAATATATTTCATGTAATCAAAGTATCCTGTATCCTGTGTTACAAATGTTGGAAGATTGGGACACTTGAGGCCCAAAGCAAATGACAGATTGATATTTTTGAGTTGACTGAAACAAAAGGGATTTGACCAACCATTTCATCAAAACGTGCCATGCCAAAATGAAATATTGACTGACAATTTCATGGCAGGTTAGAACAACAGCTGCCAAAAAATCATGATGCAGATTGTTTCCTGTAGAGCAAACAGACTGTTTGATGTTTATTTATTCTGCAATGGAGAGCAGTTTGTTTTAGCGTCTTTGACTTGATTATCACCTTTGTCTTTCACTCATCATCTCATTAAATCAGGTGTCGTCTCATCCGTCTCAGCTCACAGATTACTTCTTGGCTCAATCCCAAACTTCCCACGAATTTTTTAGGAGCTGGTATACAATTTGTGATAAGCTTGAATTCATGTGCCCCAACATCAAAGAGACACTTTTGCCAACCGTGAGATCTAAACCCAGGACTTAAAAGTCTGCTGACCTTCCAAGTGAGCTAAAACAGAACATGGGGACCAACAGATCCTATTGACCTTTCTGACCGACCAGCAGAGTGATGGCAGAGTGATTCATGCTGGTTGTTGGTGCAGTTAACAACATCCATGAAAATGGTCCATGACGAGGGCTGATGCCAAGAAGCCCACTGCTGCACACTGGCAGAGTGCCGTTGCCACTGGCAGCAGCAGAAAGGCCATTGAAGCTCGCTCACCTCAATAATTGGGAAAATCCCAAATAATGGCTTTAAGCCAGAAGAATAGTGTGGGAAACCAACATGGCATTTGGTGAGATGAAACTGCATCACTTTGATATCCTAAACCTTCCATTTGAATTACAAAAGAAGCTAACCAGACATTCATGATATTCATGAGAAAAAATACTTTGAAAGTGTTAAAGTGGCCATGTTGTAATTAAAAGATACCACAACAGGGGGTACAAAGTAAAAATACTCATTATGCATTAACATTAACATTATGCATGAAATATGTAACTGTGACTAAACTGAACAGACATGTTTACTTAATGGTGCATTGTAGAGTATTGTATCAAGAATCTCCTAAAAATCATCTTAGTTATAAAGTTAGCATTATTTTTGCAAACACACTTTGGTACATTAGCACAGTTTGATGCCACATTTGGTGTCTCTTTCCGAGATCAGTATCAGAATCGCATTGTTGCTGTGATTTCTAAACATACAGACTGTCCAGGATCTGTGTATTTACAGGTGGTCCCATTATCTCACATGTGACATGTGTAACTTTGAAGTGGCTCCCATCAGCTTGCTGCTAGTCCTCAATGTGACGAGTTCTACTGTTTTGTTTGTCAGGGATGTGACTTTTCTTTTAAATTGACTTCAACATTTTTAAGCTGAAAGGGCACTTGGAGAGCGCAGACCTCCGCCAAGGCCGTCTCCATAAGTGAAAAATAATGCGTTTGTCCACCTTGTGAT